AATTTCCATAGAGAAATGGGAAAAAACCCCAAAATCCTGGAAAAGGGGAAAAATCCTGGAATTATCCTGGAAAAATGGGAAAAAAATCCTGGAATTTCTCCGAATAGAGAAATGGGAAAAAACCCCAAAATCCTGGAAAAGGGGAAAAATCCTGGAATTATCCTGGAAAAATGGGAAAAAAATCCTGGAATTTCTCCGAAAAAATGGGGGAAAAATGGGAATTTTCTTCAAAAACGGGGGGGAAAATGTGAAAAATCCACAAAATTCTCATGGAAAAATGGGAAAAAATGGGAATTTTCAAGGAAAAGTGGGAAAAACTCTGGAATTCTCCTGGAAAAATGGGGAAAATCCTGGAAAAGTTGAAAAAAAATGGGAAATCCTTGAATTTTCCTGGAAAAATTGGAAAAATCCTGGAATTCTTTGAAAAAAAATGGGGAAAAAATGGGAATTTTCTTGGAAAAAGGGAAAAAATCCTGGAATTCTTTGGGATAAATGGGAAAAATCCTCAAAATTCTCATGGAAAAGTGGGGAAAAAATGGAATTTTCTTGGAAAAATGGGGGAAAATGGGAAAAATCCTGGAAATTTCTCCAAAAAAATGGGGGTAAAAAATGGGAATTTTCCTGGAAAAATGGGAAAAATCCTGGAAATTTCCATAGAGAAATGGGAAAAAACCCCAAAATCCTGGAAAAGGGGAAAAATCCTGGAATTATCCTGGAAAAATGGGAAAAAAATCCTGGAATTTCTCCGAAAAAATGGGGGAAAAATGGGAATTTTCTTCAAAAACGGGGGGGAAAATGTGAAAAATCCACAAAATTCTCATGGAAAAATGGGAAAAAATGGGAATTTTCAAGGAAAAGTGGGAAAAACTCTGGAATTCTCCTGGAAAAATGGGGAAAATCCTGGAAAAGTTGAAAAAAATGGGAAAAAAATAGAGAGAAGGTGGAAAAAACCTTGAATTTTCCTGGAAAAATTGGAGAAATCCTGGAATTCTTTGAAAAAAATGGGGAAAAATGGGAATTTTCTTGGAAAAAGGGAAAAAATCCTGGAATTCTTTGGGATAAATGGGAAAAATCCTCAAAATTCTCATGGAAAAGTGGGAAAAAAATGGAATTTTCTTGGGAAAATGGGAAAAAAACTGGAAATTTCTCAAAAAAAATGGGGGTAAAAAATGGGAATTTTCCTGGAAAAATGGGGAAAATCCACAAAATTCTCATGGAAAAAGGGGGAAAAATGGGATTTTTCTTGGAAAAGTGGGAAAAACTTTAGAATTCTTACGGAAAAATGGGAAAAAATCCACAAAATTCTCTAAAAAAGCGTGAAAAAAAGGCCAAAAATCCTAAAAATTCCCAATTTTTGGCCAGAAAATTCCAATTTTTTTCCTGGAAATTTCCAATTTTTATTTTTTTTCCCAAAATTCTCGATTTTTTTCAGCTCCAGGTTCTGCTCCCAAGGATTTGACAGCGATTTCCAGGGAGGGAAAACCTCGGAATGTGGTGCTGAGCTGGCAGCCACCGCTGGAAGCCAACGGGAAAATCACCGGTAAAAATTCCAAATTTTTTTTGGGTTATTCCAAGAAAAAAAAAAGTGGGAATGAGTGGAAATATTCCTAAGAAATGAAAAAAAAATCTCCAAAAAATTCTTTTAAAAATATTAAAAATTCGTGAAAAAACTGGGAAAAAATTCCAAGAAATTGTCGAAAAATTCGGGAAAAATTCACCAAAAAAAATCCCTAAAAATTCCACAAAATTCCCTAAAAATCCTCAAATAAATCCCTAAAAATCCTCAAAAAAATCCTCAAAAATTCCTAAAAAATCCCTCAAAAATCCCTTAAAAATTCCTAAAAAATCCCCCAAAAATCCCTAAAAAATCCCAAAAAATCACTCAAAAATCCCTAAAAAATTCCCAAAAATCCCCTAAAAATCCCTAAAAACCACCCCAAAAAATCCCTTAAAAATGAGAAAAAAAAATCAAAATAAGTGATGAAAAAAATTCTCAAAATGTTCCCTAAAAATTCCCCCAAAATTCTCAAAAAATTCCCTAAAAATTCACAAAAAATCCCAAAAAAATCCCTTAAAAAAAACCCCAAAAATTCTTAAAAATTTCCAAAAAATTCCCCAAATCCTCAACGGTAAAAATTCCAAGTTTTTTTTGGGTTATTCCAAGAAAAAAAAAAGTGGGAATGAGTGGAAATATTCCTAAGAAATGAAAAAAAAATCTCCAAAAAATTCTTTTCAAAAAAATTCGTGAAAAAATTGTGCAAAATTCCAAGAAATTGTTAAAAATTCGGGAAAAATTGCTTAAAAAAACCCTAAAATTTCACAAAATTCCCTAAAAATCCTCAAATAAATCCCTAAAAATCCTCAAAAAAATCCTCAAAAATTCCTAAAAAATCCCTCAAAAATCCCTTAAAAATTCCTAAAAAATCCCCCAAAAATCCCTAAAAAATCCCAAAAAATCACTCAAAAATCCCTAAAAAATTCCCAAAAATCCCCTAAAAATCCCTAAAAACCACCCCAAAAAATCCCTTAAAAATGAGAAAAAAAATCAAAATAAGTGATGAAAAAAAATTCTCAAAAAATTCCCTAAAAGTTCCCAAAAAAATCCCCAAAAATTCCCCAAAAATTCTCAAAAAACCCCTTAAAAAATCCCCCAAAATTTCCCTAAAATCCCCAAAAAAATCCCCAAAATTTCTCAAAAAATTCTCAAAAAATCAATAAAAAATCTCTGAAAAATTCCTAAAAAAATAATTCAAAAATTCTCAAAAAAATCCCTAAAAATTCCCCAAAAATCCCTTAAATATCCCTAAAAAAATACAAAAAATTCTTAAAAAAACCCAGAAAAAAAATCAAAATAAGTCCTGAAAAAAATGGGAAAAATCCTCCAAACAATCCGAGAAATTCTCAAAAAATTTCCAAAAAAAAACCCCAAAAATCCCAAAAAATTCTCAAAAAAATCTCCCAAAAATTCCCAAAAAAATCTCTAAAGAATCCCCAAAAATTCTCAGAAAATCCCTAAAAAATTCCCCCAAAATTCCCCAAAAATTCTCAAAAAACCCCTAAAAAATCTCCCAAAAAATCCAAAAAATTCCCCAAAAATTCTGAAAAAAATCCCTGAAAATTCCCAAAAAATCCTCAAATAATTCCTAAAAAAATCCCTAAAAAATCCCTAAAAATTCCAACAAAAATCCTCAAAAATTCCCCAAAAATCCCTTCAAAAATCCCAAAAAATTCACAAAAAATCCCCAAAAAATCCCTTCAAAAATCCCTAAAAAATCCCAGAAATTCTCAAAAAATTCCACAAAAATCCTCAAATAAATCCCTAAAAATCTCCAAAAATCCCCAAAAATATCCTGAAAAATCTCCCAAAAATTCCCATAAAATCCTCAAATAATTCCTAAAAAAATCCCCAAAAAATCCCTAAAAATTCTCAAAAAATCCCCAAAAATTCACCAAAAATCCCCAAAAAATCCCTTAAAAAATTCTTAAAAAATCCCCAAAAATTCCCCCAAAAAATCCCTAAAATCCCTAAAAATCCCTCCAAAAATCCCTCAATAATTCCCAAAAAATTCCCCAAAAATTCTCCAAAAATCCCTAAAAAATTCCCCCAAAATTCCCCAAAAATTCTCAAAAAATCCCTAAAAAATTCCACCAAAATTCCCCAAAAATTCTCAAAAAAATCCCTAAAAATTCCCAAAAAATCCTCAAATAATTCCTTTCTCAAAAAATCCCTAAAAAATTCCACCAAAATTCCCCAAAAATTCTCAAAAAAATCCCTAAAAATTCCCAAAAAATCCTCAAATAATTCCTAAAAAATCCCCAAAAAATCCTTAAAAATTCCAACAAAAATCCTCAAAAATCCCCCAAAAATTCACGAAAAATCCCCAAAAATTCACAAAAAATCCCTTAAAAAATCCCCAAAAAATCCAAAAAATTCCCCAAAAATTCTCAAAAAAATCCCTAAAAATTCCCAAAAAATCCTCAAATAATTCCTTAAAAATCCCCAAAAAAATCCCTAAAAATTCCAACAAAAATCCTCAAAAATCCTTCAAAAATTCACGAAAAATCCCCAAAAATTCACAAAAAATCCCTTAAAAAATCCCCAAAAAATCCCCAAAAAATTCCCAAAAAATCCCCAAAAAATTCCATAAAATTCCTGCCTTTTCCCCATGCCATTCCCGTTATTTCCCCCAGCCTACACTCTGTTCTACTCCCTGGACAAGAACGCTCCTCTGGCCGAGTGGATCCCGCAGTCGGTCGGATCCGAGCGCCTTTCCCATCAAATCCCCCCTTTGCTGGAGCCCCAAAAATCCCAAAAATTCCCCCCAAAAAATCCCTAAAATCCCTAAAAATCCCTCCAAAAATCCCTCAATAATTCCCCCAAAATTCCCCAAAAATTCTCCAAAAATCCCTAAAAAATTCCCCCAAAATTCCCCCAAAATTCCCCAAAAATTCTCAAAAAATCCCTAAAAAATTCCCAAAAAATTCCCCAAAAATTCTCCAAAAATCCCTAAAAAATTCCCCAAAAATTCTCAAAAAATCCCTAAAAAGTCCCACAAAATTCCCCAAAAATTCCCCAAAAATCCCTAAAAAATTCCCCCCAAATTCCCCAAAAATTCACAAAAAATCCCTAAAAAATTCCCCCAAAAATTCTCAAAAAAATCCCTAAAAATTCCCAAAAAATCCTCAAATAATCCCTTAAAAAATCCCTTCAAAAATCCCCAAAAATTCGCCAAAATTCCCCAAAAATTCTCAAAAAAAACCCTTAAAAAATTCACCAAAAATCCAAAAAATTCCAGAAAATTCTCAAAAAAATCCCTAAAAATTCCCCAAAAATCCTCAAATAATTCCTTAAAAATCCCCCAAAAAATCCCTAAAAATTCCAACAAAAATCCTCAAAAATCCTTCAAAAATTCTCAAAAAATCCTCAAAAATTCACCAAAAATCCCCAAAAAATCCCTTAAAAAATTCCCCAAAAATTCCCCAAAAATTCCCCCAAAATTCCAGAAAATTCCTGCCTTTTCCCCATGCCATTCCCGTTATTTCCCCCAGCCTACACTCTGTTCTACTCCCTGGACAAGAACGCTCCTCTGGCCGAGTGGATCCCGCAGTCGGTCGGATCCGAGCGCCTTTCCCATCAAATCCCCGATCTCCTCCTCGATTCCGGATATTTTTTCCGCATCCAAGCTCGAAATTCCAAAGGTTCCGGTCCCATCTCTGATCCCATTTTCTTCAGGACAGCCAAAGGTTTGGAAAAAAAATTGGATTTTTTTTGGGGGGGGATTTTAATTGGATTTTTTGGGGATTTTTATGGGGAATTTTTAGGGATTTTTTGGGATTTTTTGGGAATTTTAATTGGATTTTTTGGGATTTTTATGGGGAATTTTTAGGGATTTTAATTGGATTTTTTGGGATTTTTTTTGGGATTTTAATTGGATTTTTTGGGATTTTTATGGGGAATTTTTAGGGATTTTTGGGGAATTTTTTTTATGGGGAATTTTCGGGGATTTTTGGGGATTTTTTGGGATTTTTTTGGGGATTTTAATTGGACTTTTGGGAATTTTTATGGGGAATTTTGTGGGATTTTTTGGGAATTTTGGAGGGATTTTAATTGGATATTTTGGGAATTTTTATGTGAAATTTTTAGGGATTTTTGGGGATTTTTTGGGATTTTTTTGGGGATTTTAATTGGATTTTTTTGGGATTTTTATGGGGATTTTTTAGGGATTTTTTGGGATTTTTTGGGATTTTTTGGGGGATTTTAATTGGATTTTTTGGGGATTTTTATGGGGAATTTTTAGGGATTTTTTGGGACTTTTTGGGATTTTTTTGGGATTTTTTTGGGGATTTTAATTGGATTTTTTGGGAATTTTTATGGAGAATTTTTAGGGATTTTTTAGGATTTTTTGGGGATTTTAATTGGATTTTTTGGGAATTTTTATGGGGAATTTTTAGGGATTTTTTGGATTTTTTGGGGGATTTTAATTGGATTTTTTAGGAATTTTTATTTGGAATTTTTAGGGATTTTTTGGGATTTTTTAGGGATTTTTGGGGGAATTTTAATTGGATTTTTTGGGAATTTTTATGGGGAATTTTTAGGGATTTTTTGGGATTATTTGGGGGATTTTAATTGAATTTTTTGGGAATTTTTTGGGATTATTTTAGGGATTTTTTTGGATTTTTTGGGATTTTTATGGGGAATTTTTAGGGATTTTTTGGGATTTTTTGGGGATTTTTTGGGGGATTTTAATTGGATTTTTTTGGTATTTTTATGGGGAATTTTTAGGGATTTTTTGGGATTTTTGGGATTTTTATGGGGAATTTTTAGGGATTTTTGGGGATTTTTTGGCATTATTTGGGGGATTTTAATTGGATTTTTTGGGAATTTTTTGGGATTTTTTGGGGAATTTTTAGGGATTTTTGGGGATTTTTTGGGGAATTTTAATTGGATTTTTTTGGAATATTTATGGGGAATTTTTAGGGATTTTTTGGGATTTTTTGGGATTTTTGGGGGGATTTTAATTGGATTTTTTGGGATTTTTATGGGGATTTTTTGGGATTTTTAGGGATTTTTTGGGATTTTTTGGGGGATTTTAATTGGATTTTTTGGGAATTTTTATCGGGAATTTTTTGGAATTTTTTTGAATTTTTTTGAATTTTTTTGAATTTTTTTTATATTTTTTATTAAATTTTTTTATTTATTTGCAATTTTTTTGGAATTTTGGGATATTTATTAAAATTTTGGGTTTTTCTTAATTAAAATTTTGGATATTTTTTGAATTTTGTTCATTTTTTGTTCAAATTTTTTGGTTTTTCAGGATTTTTTGGGGGGAATTTTAAATTTTTTCTGTTTTTTTTTTGGTTTTTATGGAATTTTTAAACATTTTTAGAATATTTTTTAATATTTTAGAGAATTTTGGAAACTTTTTAATGTTTTATTTGGAATTTAGGGAGGGTTCATGGGTTTTTTTGGGAATAATTTGGGAATTTTATGGGATTTTGGGGGAATTTAATTGGATTTTTTGGGATTTATTTGTGAATTTTAATGATTTTTTTTTGATTTTAATTAAATTTTTTGAGGGTTTTTAATGGAATTTTGGGCAATATTTGGGATTTATTAAAATTTTTTATGGATTCCTTTAAAAATTTAGGGAATTTTTAAAGTTTTATGGAATTTTTGGAATATTTTTTGCATTTTTTTTTGAGATTTATTGGGAATTTTTAAATTTTTATTTCAATTTTTGGGAATTTTGGGGTGGATTTTGAAGGAATTTTTGAAGCTTTTCATGGAATTTTAGGATTTTGGGGTTTTTTAATGGGATTTTGGGTGAAAATTTTGGGTTTTTTTTAAAATTTTGAGCTTTTTTTCTATGAAAAACTTCCAAAAAAATGGGAAAATTCCCAATTTTTTGCCTCTAATCCCAAATTTTTTTCTTTTTCTTTTCCAGCAGAAATTCCAGATAAAATGCCCAACGACCAAGGTAAGAAATTCCCAAAGAATTCCCAAAAAATTCCATAAAAATTCAAAATTTTCCCTAAAATTCCCCAAAAATTTGAAAAAAAATCCCCAAAAAATTCTGGAAAAAAATCCTAAAAATTCCAAATAATTCCCAAAATAAAAAAATTCCATAAAAAATCCAAAATTTCCCAAAAAAACCCAAAATAATTTAAGAAAAAATTCCATAAAACTCAAAAAAACCCCCAAAAATTCCATAAAAAATCCAAAATTTCCTAAAAAATCCCAAATTAATTGAAGAAAAAATTCCATAAAACTCAAAAAAACCCAAAAATCCCAAATTTCTTTTAAAATTCCTTAAAAATTTAAAAATAATTCCAAAAAATTCCATAAAAACTCAAAAAAAAACCCCAAAAATTCCATAAAAATTCAAAATTTTCCCAAAAATTCCCCAAAAATTTGAAAAAAAAATCCCAAAAAATTCTGGAAAAAAATCCTAAAAATTCCAAATAATTCCCAAAATAAAAAAATTCCATAAAAAATCCAAAATTTCCCCAAAAAACTCAAATTAATTTAGGAAAAAATTCCTAAAATTAAAAAAAACCCCCAAAAATTCCATAAAAAATCCAAAATTTCCCAAAAAATCTCAAATTAATTGAAGAAAAAAATTCCTAAAACTCAAAAAAGCCCAAAAATCCCAAATTTCCCCTAAAATTCCTTAAAAATTTAAAAATAATTCCAAAAAATTCCATAAAAACTCAAAAAAAACCCCAAAAATTCCATAAAAATTCAAAATTTTCCCAAAAATTCCCCAAAAATTTGAAAAAAAAATCCCAAAAAATTCTGGAAAAAAATCCTAAAAATTCCAAATAATTCCCAAAATAAAAAAATTCCATAAAAAATCCAAAATTTCCCAAAAAATATCAAATTAATTAAAGAAAAAATTCCATAAAATTAAAAAAAACCCCAAAAATTCCATAAAAAATCCAAAATTTCCCCAAAAAATCCCAAAATAATTGAAGAAAAAATTCCACAAAACTCAAAAAAACCCAAAAATCTTAAATTTCTTTTAAAATTCCTTAAAAATTTAAAAATAATTCCAAAAAATTCCATAAAAACTCAAAAAAAAACCCCAAAAATTCCATAAAAATCCCAATTTTTCCCCAAATTTCTAAAATAAATCAAAAAAATTCCACAAAATCCAAAATATTTGGGAATAAGTCCAAATAAAATCCATAAAAATCTCCAAATTTCCCCAAAAATCTTGAAATATTTAAAAAAAAATCCCAAAAATCCCCAAATCTTTTAAAAATTCCCACAAAATCTTCTCCAAAATCCACAAAATTCCATAAAAAAAACCCCAAATAATTCAATAATAAATTAATTCTTTATAATTAATAATAATAATAATTATATATATTATATATATTGGATTTTTGGGGAATTTTTGGGAGTTTTATTTAAATTTTTATGGGGAATTTTTTGGGTTTTTTTATTAATTTTAAATGGAATTTTTTGGGATTTTTTTTCCATTTTTTCCTGGATTTTATTCCCCAATTTTTGAAATTTTTTGGGAATTTTTTGATTGAATTTTCCCAAATTTTTCCCCTTTTTTTCCCCAATTTTATTCCAAATTTCCCAGAATTTTTGGGAATTTTAAATTAAATTTTTTTCCATTTTTTCCTGGATTTTTTCCTGGATTTTATTCCCCAATTTTTGAAATTTTTTGAGTAAATTTTCCCAATTTTTTTTCCCTTTTTTTCCTCAAATTAATTCCAAATTTCCCAGAATTTTTGGGAATTTTAAATGGATTTTTTTTCCATTTTTTCCTGGATTTTATTCCCCAATTTCTGAAATTTTTGTGAATTTTTTGGTTGAATTTTCCCAATTTTTTCCCCTTTTTTTCCTCAAATTTATTCCAAATTTCCCAGAATTTTTTTGAATTTTAAATGGAATTTTTTAGAATTTTTTTCCATTTTTTCCTGGATTTTATTCCCCAATTTCTGAAATTTCTGGGAATTTTTAGAGTGAATTTTCCCAATTTTTTTCCCTTTTTTTCCTTAAATTTATTCCAAATTTCCCAGAATTTTTGGGAATTTTAAATGGATTTTTTTTCCATTTTTTCCTGGATTTTATTCCCCAATTTCTGAAATTTCTGGGAATTTTTGGGGTGAATTTTCCCAATTTTTTTCCCTTTTTTTATTCAAATTAATTCCAAATTTCCCAGAATTTTGGGGAATTTTAAATGGAATTTTTTTCCATTTTTTCCTGGATTTTATTCCCCAATTTCTGAATTTTTTTGGGAATTTTTTGATTGAATTTTCCCAATTTTTTTTCCCTTTTTTTCCTCAAATTAATTCCAAATTTCCCCAAATTTTTTGGAATTTTAAATGGAATTTTTTTGGATTTTTTTCCATTTTTTCCTGGATTTTTTTCCCCAATTTCTGAAATTTCTGGGAATTTTTGGGGTGAATTTTCCCAATTTTTTTCCCCTTTTTTTCCCCAAATTAATTCCAAATTTCACAGAATTTTTTTAAATTTTAAATGGAATTTTTTAGAATTTTTTTCCATTTTTTCCTGGATTTTATTCCCCAATTTCTGAAATTTCTGGGAATTTTTAGAGTGAATTTTCCCAATTTTTTTCCCTTTTTTTCCTTAAATTTATTCCAAATTTCCCAGAATTTTTGGGAATTTTAAATGGATTTTTTTTCCATTTTTTCCTGGATTTTATTCCCCAATTTCTGAAATTTTTGTGAATTTTTTGATTGAATTTTCCCAATTTTTTCCCCTTTTTTTCCTCAAATTTATTCCAAATTTCCCAGAATTTTTGGGAATTTTAACATGAATTTTGTGCTTTTTAATGGGATTTTCTCCAGAATTCTTAAATAATTTGGGAAATATTTCATTTTTTAATGGAATATTCCCAAAATATTCCCAATTTTTCCTGGAATTCTCTCCTCAGGTCGCCATGGAGACGGATCCTATTGGCCCCTGGACATCGACCGCAGCATCAATGGTAAATCCCCCAAAAAAATCTGGGAATTGGGGGGTTTTTTATGGAATTTTAAAGGAATTTATGGGAATTTTTAGGAGTTTTTATGGGAATTTTATTGGGGATTTTTTGGGAATTTTTTGGGATTTTTTGGGGGATTTTAATTGGATTTTTTGGGAATTTTTTGGGATTTTTTGGGGATTTTTTTTAGATTTTTTTGGGAATTTTTTGGGAATTTTTTGGGATTTTAATTGGATTTTTTGGGAATTTTTGGGGGATTTTTTGGGAATATTTTGGGATTTTTTGGGGGATTTTAATTGGATTTTTTGGGATTTTTGGGGGGATTTTTCAGGATTTTTTGGGGATTTTTTGGGATTTTTTGGGGGATTTTAATTGGATTTTTTGGGAATTTTTGGGGGATTTTTTGGGAATTTTTTGGGATTTATTTGGAGATTTTAATTGGATTTTTTGGGAATTTTTTGGATTTTTTTTTAGATTTTTTTGGGATTTTTTTGTGGTATTTTTTGGGATTTTTTTGGGGATTTTAATTGGATTTTTTGGGATTTTTTGGGGGGATTTTTTGGGGGATTTTTTTGGTATTTTTGGGGATTTTTTTGGGATTTTAATTGGATTTTTGGGAAATTTTTTGGGATTTTTTGGGGGATTTTTTGGGAATTTTTTGGGAATTTTTGGGGATTTAAATTGGATTTTTTGGGAATTTTTTGGGATTTTTTTTGGGATTTTTTGGGAATTTTTTTGGATTTTAATGGGATTTTTGGGGAATTTTTTGGGATTTTTTTTGGGATTTTAATTGGATTTTTTGGGATTTTTTTTATTTTTTTTGGACTTTAATTGGATTTTTTGAGAATTTTTTTGGATTTTTTTAGATTTTTTGGGGGGAATTTTAATTGGATTTTTTGGGAATTTTTGGGGGATTTTTTGGGAATTTTTTGGGATTTATTTGGGGATTTTAATTGGATTTTTTGGGAATTTTTTGGATTTTTTTTTAGATTTTTTTGGGATTTTTTGTGGTATTTTTTGGGATTTTTTTTGGGATTTTAATTGGATTTTTTTGGAATTTTTTGGAATTTTTTTTTTAGATTTTTTGGGGGATTTTTTGGGAGTTTTTTGGGATTTTTTTAGATTTTTTTGGGGGTTAATTGGATTTTTTGGGAATTTTTATGGGGTATTTTTTGGGATTTTTTTGGGATTTTAATTGGATTTTTTGGGAAATATTTTGGATTTTTTTTAGATTTTTTGGGAATTTTTTGGGAATGTTTTGGGATTTTTTTGGGGATTTTAATTGGATTTTTTGGGAATTTTTTGGGATTTTTTTGAGGTTTTTTTGGGAATTTTTTGGGATTTTTTTTTGGATTTTAATTGGATTTTTTGGGAATTTTTTTAGATTTTTTGGGGGATTTTAATTGGATTTTTTGGGGAATTTTTGGGAATTTTTTTTGATTTTTTTGGGGATTTTAATTGGATTTTTTGGGAATTTTTTGTGATTTTTTGAAGGATTTTAATTGGATTTTTTGGGAATTTTTTGGATTTTTTTTTAGATTTTTTGGGGGATTTTTTTTGGTATTTTTTGGGATTTTTTGGGATTTTAATTGGATTTTTTGGGAAATTTTTGGATTCTTTTTTTAGATTTTTGGGGGGATTTTTTTGGTATTTTTTGGGATTTTAATTGGATTTTTTTGGGGGATTTTTGGGGGATTTTTTTGGTATTTTTGGGGATTTTTTTTGGATTTTAATTGGATTTTTGGGAATTTTTTGGGATTTTTTTGGGGATTTTTTGGGAATTTTTTGGGAATTTTTTTGGATTTTAATGGGATTTTTGGGGGTTTTTTTGGGATTTTTTTGGGGGATTTTAATTGGATTTTTTGGGAATTTTCTGGGATTTTTTTTTTGGATTTTAATTGGATTTTTTGGGATTTTTTTGGGATTTTTTGGGGGATTTTTCGGGTATTTTTTTGGATTTTTTTAGATTTTTTTTGGGATTTTAATTGGATTTTTGGGGAACTTTTATGGCGAATTTTTTGGGAATATTTTGGGATTTTTGGGGGGGATTTTAATTGAATTTTTTGGGAATTTTTTGGGACTTTTTGGGGGGATTTTTCGGGAATTTTTTGGGATTTTTTTGGGGATTTTAATTGGATTTTTTGGGGAATTTTTGGGATTTTTTTGGGATTTTTTGAGGGATTTTTTGGGAATTTTTTGGGATTTTTTTTGGGGATTTTAATTGGATTTTTTGGGAATTTTTTGGGAAATTTTTGGGGATTTTAATTGGATTTTTTGGGAATTTTTTGGGATTTTTTTGGGGATTTTTTGGGAGTTTTTTGGGATTTTTTTTAGTTTTTTTGGGGATTTTAATTGGATTTTTTGGGAATTTTTTGGGATTTTTTTTAGATTTTTTTTATTTTAATTGGATTTTTTTGGGGATTTTTATGGGGAATTTTTAGGGATTTTTTGGGATTTTTTTAGATTTTTTGGGAGATTTTAATTGGATTTTTTGGGAATTTTTTGGGAATCTTTTGGGATTTTTTTTAGATTATTTTTGGGGATTTTAATTGGATTTTTGGGGAATTTTTATGGGGAATTTTTTGGGATTTTTTTTGGATTTTAATTGGATTTTTTGGGAAATATTTTGGATTTTTTTTGGATTTTTTGGGGGATTTTTCCGGAATTTTTTGGGATTTTTTTGGGATTTTTTTGGTGATTTTAATTGGATTTTTTTGGAATTTTTGGGATTTTTTTGGGATTTTATGGGGATTTTTTGGGAATTTTTTTAGATTTTTTGGGGGATTTTAATTGGATTTTTTGGGGAATTTTTGGGAATTTTTTTTGATTTTTTTGGGGATTTTAATTGGATTTTTTGGGAATTTTTTGTGATTTTTTGAAGGATTTTAATTGGATTTTTTGGGAATTTTTTGGATTTTTTTTTAGATTTTTTGGGGGATTTTTTTTGGTATTTTTTAGATTTTTTGGGGGATTTTAATTGGATTTTTTGGGGAATTTTTGGGATTTTTTTTGGATTTTATGGGGGATTTTTTGGGAATTTTTTGGGATTTTTTTTTGGATTTTAATTGGATTTTTTGGGAATTTTTATGGGGAATTTTTTGGGATTTTTTTTTGGATTTTAATTGGATTTTTTGGGGAATTTTTGGGATTTTTTTGGGATTTTTTTTTTAGATTTTTTTTTTATTTTAATTGGATTTTTTGGGAATTTTTATGGGGAATTTTTAGGGATTTTTTGGGATTTTTTTGGATTTTTTGGGGGATTTTAATTGGATTTTTTGGGAATTTTTAGGAGGCTTTTTGGGAATTTTATGGGGAGTTTTTAGGGATTTTTTTGGGATTTTTTGGGATTTTTTTTTTTTGGATTTTAATTGGATTTTTGGGGAATTTTTATGGGGAATTTTTAGGGATTTTTTTGGGATTTTTTTTTTATTTTTGGGGGGGTTTTAATTGGATTTTTTTGGAACTTTTTGGGATTTTTTGGGATTTTTTGGGGGGATTTTTATTGGATTTTTTGGGAATTTTTATGGGGAATTTTTAGGGATTTTTTGGGATTTTTTTAGATTTTTTTTTGGATTTTAATTGGATTTTTTGGGAATTTTTAGGAGGCTTTTTGGGAATTTTATGGGGAGTTTTTAGGGATTTTTTGGGATTTTTTAAAGGGATTTTTGGGGGTTATATTTGGATTTTTTAGATATTTTAATTGGATTTTTTGGGAATTTTTGGGAATTTTTTAGGGAATTTTTTTTGGGAATATTTTGGGATTTTTGGGAGATTTTTTCTGAGATTTTTTTTTGGTTTTAATTGGATTTTTTGGGAATTTTTAGGAGTTTTTATGGGAATTTTTTGGGAATTTTTTTCATTTTTTGAGGGATTTTTTGGAGGTTTTTGGGAGGTTTTTTTTTGGGAATTTTTCTTGGAATTTATGGGGGTTTTTAGGGAATTTTAGGGGGATTTTCTGGGAATTTTTTGGGAATTTTGAGGGGATTTTCTGGGATTTTTATGGGAATTTTGAGGGGATTTTCTGGGATTTTTATGGGAATTTTAAGGGGATTTTTTTTGAGTTTTCTGGGAATTTGGAGGGAATTTTAAGGGGATTTTTTGGGAATTTTTAGGTGATTTTTAGGTGATGTTTTGGGAATTTTCTGGGAATTTTTTGGGAATTTTGAAAGGATTTTCTGGGATTTTTATGGGAATTTTTGGGGTTTTTATACAGAATTTTTTGGGAATTTCTGGGAATATTTTTGGGATTTTATGGAATTTTTTGCTGTGTTTTTTGGGAATTTTTAGGGATTTTTTGTAAGGAATTTTTTTGTATTTTTTTGTTATTTTTGTGGGACTTTTTAAAAGATTTTCCTGAGATTTTTTTGGGGAATATTTTAGGAATTTTAATCCAATTTATTACCAATTATAATCCAATTTTTATCCAGATTTTTCCTTCAATTCAACCCAATTTTTTTAGGATTTTTTTTAAAAAAACACCAATTAAATTAATTTTCTATTTTCATGGAATTTTCATGGAATTTTCATGGAATTTTCATGGAATTTTCATGGAATTTTCATGGAATTCTCATTCCCAGATTCTCCAGTTGGACAAAGAAATTCAGCTCCAGGCACCGGAATTTTGCTCCTCATCCTTGGAATATCCGGAGGCGTCTCCGTGGTGGCCGCGGCCGTCGGAGCCTGGATCTGCTCCAGGAGAAACGAGGAGAGGAAGAGGAAGTAAGGAAATTCCCAAAGGGGATTTTGAGGGGGAAAATTGGGAAAAAATTGGGATTTTTTGGGGATTTTTTTGGGATTTTTTGGGGATTTTTTTTGGATTTTTTTGGGATTTTTTTTGGTTTTTTTGGGGATTTTTTGGGATTTTTTTTGGAATTTTTTTGGGATTTTTTGAGAATTTTTGGGGAATTTTTTGGGATTTTTTTGGGATTTTTTGAGAATTTTTTTGGAATTTTTTTGGGATTTTTTTGGGATTTTTTTGGGTTTTTTTGGGGATTTTTTGGGAATTTTTTGGGATTTTTCAGGGATTTTTTTTGGATTTTTTGGGATTTTTTTTGGAATTTTTTTGGAATTTTTTTGGTTTTTTTTGGGATTTTTTTGGATTTTTTTGAGATTTTTTTGGGGATTTTTTTAGGATTTTTTTGGGATTTTTTTGGGGTTTTTTGGGGATTTTTTTTGATTTTTTTTGGATTTTTTTTGAAATTTTTAGGATTTTTTTTTAGGATTTTTTAGGATTTTTTTGAAATTTTTTTTTGCATTTTTTGGGATTTTTTTAGGAATTTTTAGGGATTTTTTTGGGGGGAATTTGGGGGGATCCGGAGGCGTCTCCGTGGTGGCCGCGGCCGTCGGAGCCTGGATCTGCTCCAGGAGAAACGAGGAGAGGAAGAGGAAGTAAGGAAATTCCCAAAGGGGATTTTGAGGGGGAAAATTGGGAAAAAATTGGGATTTTTTTGGAATTTTTTTGGGATTTTTTTGGGATTTTTTTGGGATTTTTTGGGATTTTTTTGGGATTTTTTGGGATTTTTTGGGGATTTTTTTTGGATTTTTTTGGGATTTTTTTGGAATTTTTTGGGATTTTTTTTGGAATTTTTTGGGGATTTTTTTGGGATTTTTTGGGGATTTTTTTTGGATTTTTTTGGGATTTTTTTTGGTTTTTTTGG